CGAGATGAAGTCGAGGTCAATAAAAATGTGAAAAAAAGAACGAGGCTATTATCCAGCCATCTTGAGCGAACAAGCTGGGTTAATAGAGGATTACTTGTCTTGCAAGAAGATCTCGCTTTCTTAAGAATTAAGAATGAATTGTTTACTTCGAGAGCAGCCGGGAAATAAAGCTAACTGTGTTTGTAGCACAACAAACTCAGAAAAGGGCCGTTTCTGTGTTCTTTGTTTTGACTATCTTCTACCGATTCTTGCATTTCCATCGCCGAAATTGTCCAAGAATTACGAAAGAAGTTCTAATTCTATTTATTTATTTATTTTTTCATGCGCGGGATTAATGCGGGTAATCCCAAGCGGGTAAGATGGGCCCACCTTGCCCGTTCGGGTAGCCAATCAAAAGACAGGATTCACTTCACCTTGTCCACGGGCGCTGCGAGTAATGTAATAAATCAAAACATTCCTTTTTACCACCCAAAATTACATGTATGTCATCTCGATAAACACTTACAAATTAAAACCTTACTTCCTGGACAAACCATTCGCTATATTTCGTCAATGATTCTCAGTTTGTTGTCATGGTTATACCGCTTCCGCTTGTTCCTTTTTCATAAGAAGCCTTAGAAGTCGCTTCTTGTCAGCCACTATGCGACTTTCCAAATCTACAATTTCCTTCTTAAGAGCATCTTCATTACTATTAGGAGCTAATTCCCTTACGCTGGGTTCAGATTTCGCCGATGATATAGAAGAGCGCCGCGAACGGGAATCGCTGTGGTGCCTTCGCGATAAGAGAGACGTGTATTCTCGTGAGAAGTGTCTTGATTGTGAATGAGACCGTGAGTCTTGTGAGTCTTGTGAGTCTCGTGAACGGGAATGTGAATTTCGCGTTCTTGATTCCCGTGATTCTGATTTACTTGACTGCGGACCTCTCGATCTAGATCGTGGTTCCCGTGATCGTGAGTTTCTTGTCCTTGATTTCTGTGATCGTGAGTGTCGTGATCTGGAATTTCGAGAGGTAGACTCCGAACTTGAACGAGATCGAGCATATTCCTTCGTTCGTCTATTTTGAATTTTCTCGCCGCGCTTTGTTCTTTGACAGTAACTATGGGATGGGCGTAAAGAGGACTTTCTCATCTTTTCTCGACGGTGTTTACCAGATTTTCTAGACGGAGATAAGCGTTCACTATCGGCTTTCAACCGTTTTTCGCTAGTATTCGATCGCCCTCGATGATGTTCTTTAATCACACGCTCTTCTACCGAAAGTGAGCGATCCCTTGAGCGCGGTTTAACATGACCAGATTGCCTTCGCAAACGTTTGTCTTCTTGAAAACCTCCCTTTCTTTGAGACAGCGGTCGTGATCCAGAGTTTGAGTGCGATCTAGACCCTCCCTTCCTTCGCTGAAACTGCGTCGGGTTGTTGCACGCTGATCCTGGCCGAACAGTGGGAGTTACCGGAGAGGCAGAAGTATCACTGCTGACAACGATAAACTCTGGTGGAGGTGAACAAAATTCCGAGGAATAAACAGAAGGACGTGTAGAAAAAGACGGAGCTGAGCCCCATTCAACGGTATTAGTATCACCAAAAAGCTTGCTTCTATTACTTTTGTCGTTAGATCTTTTAGGCTCTTTCCTTTTATGTTTGTGTTTATGTTTGTGTTTGTGTGAATGGCGATGATAATGATGGTGTTGATGCTTCTTCTTCTCCGGTACCACTGGTGTCACCTCTACTACAGTTTTCTTAGAAGATCTTTTCCTGTTTCTATGGCCGTTAGAATGAGACACCGTGTTGGATGCTTCGTCATTTATTGTGAGTTCAACGTCTACTTGAGTTGTGTGCGAAGTAGCTGACGAGTTCGATGAAAAGATGGTCACAGCCGTTTCCAAACCAGCTCGACCATTTAGTCCGGATGTGCCTGGTGATGAGCTTGGAGACCAGCTGTTGTTTTCAGTTTGCAACGCAGGAGAATCTCCTCTCCAGTCTGTTAGCGACAGACTTTCGCCCGAGGGACCCGGAACGGGTGTTTGCCAGCCTAATATGCAAAGGGAATCATCAGACATAAAAAGGAATTCGAGGCATTAGAATAGTATCCGAAATTCTGTTCAAAAGCCCTTAAAACACTTTCAAAAGCACATGCAAATGACCGCAGCAAAGTAAATATCCACCGCTGGCCATCGACACTAAGCGATATAATATAAAAACAACAAGATACTATAGCACAAAGAGACGATTTTAACCCCCTTATTCCTACTAACATTACAATGGGGCGCAAATCCCGAGCGCGTTTCCCGGGGGTCAATAGCAAAGGATATTACAAGTTTGACTTGGCAGTCAGGGCGCGCCTTCAACGTACCCATGCATTGTTTTTTCTTTAAAAGATCCAAGTCTTTCCCTTTCCTCTCTCGATTTTTTTTTTTTTTTTTTTTTTTTTTTCATTTTTCCTTATACAGGTTGAGGATTTGAAGCTGTCTTCATACTGCCGAACTGTTTAGAATAATTTCGCTTTGTAAGCACTTTCAGTGTCTAATAATATTCTTTCACGTCAGCACTGAGTACTCTTGAGAATATTACCTTGATGGGAAATCATACATAAGTGTTGCATAACTATTTTTCTTATCATTACTATTTTTCTTACTATTTTTTTTACTATTTTTCTGTTTTACCATTTTTAAGTGCGCAATTATGAAAGACTGGTCATGCTGCTTCAGAAAGGTATACCATGGCTAGTCCTACAAAAACCAATGTTTTCAATTCCACACCGCGCCACCGTAAACACAGTGACAAAAAAAAACAAACCACAAAGCGAATACCGATAAGGCTGAGTCTAATACCGTTGCATATACAACGTTTTTAATTCAAGATTCTAATTGGCTATATGGTATGAAATAAAATGAAAAATGAGTTGCTCAAATGGTTCGCACCTGATGTTTGACTGTGGAACACAGTCGGCGTATCTCTGAGTTCCTGACCTGTGTCGTTTTGCCAGTTGTACTGCGCACGCTCATCATAAGCAGTCATGTCAAAGGGCGAACGAGCAAAGCCCACGAACTCATGGATAAAATGGTCTGTTTGTTCAAATAGGAAGGGCTGTAGTTGACGAGAAAACTCTTCAGAACTAAGCTCAACCCTGAAAAGAAAAAAAAAAAAAAATCAATAAATTTTTACAACCTCATCAACCTCAGTCTATCAACTTGACACTGATCAAGAGTTTTGGCGTCGTGACTGTTTCGGTGGAAAAAAAATATTGAATTCCGAAAGTTTAATTCTTGAAATGAGATGTTTCATCTCAGGGATAAAAAGTTCTGTATATGCAGTAGTAAGTATTATTACATCGCACGCAGCGCCCGTGGGCAAGATGAAGCGAATCCTGCGTTCTGATTGGCTACCCAAGCGGGCAAGGGCCCATCAAGATTGCCCGCATGAAAATAATAGAGTAAGAACTACGTGCGTAAATCTTCGACAATTTGGGCGACGGAAAGGCAAAAAGCGGCATAAGATAATCAATACAAAGAAAACAGAAACGAATCTCGTGAGTTTGTTGTGCTTCAAGCACAGCTAGCATTCTTTCCAGGCTTTCCATTCTTTCCGAAGGAAACAAGTCATTCTTAACTCTTAATAAAGCGAAATCGTTCTGCAATATAATAAATCATTTATTAACCAAGCTTGTTCGGTCAAGATGGCTGGATATTGGCCGGGTTCTTTTATTTTTTGCATTTTCATGGACCGAGACTATGTCGAGGTCCATAAATATGCGAAAAAAGAACGAGGCTCATATCCAGCCATCTTGACCGAACAAGCTTGGTTAGTAACGCACATTTATCATTGAGGGGCTTTTCGAACCTGAGTAGTCACGAGGGCCAATCAGAAGAAAGGAAAATACCTGGTACCTTTAAGAGACAATGAGAACTCAAAGTAAAAACAACCGAACCGCCTAAAGCACGGGAAACGCGTCAAACAAATCTTGATCATAACATAACCAAAGTAAAACGCGCGCTCTGATTGGTCAATTCAGTGCTTAGCAAACCTCCCAAGTGTAACCATAACTTAATAGTGTGCATTGTGGTGTTTTACTATTTGTTTTATAACATAACAACGATACATGGTAGCAAAAGGATTCCCTTTTAATTAACTCCGAAATCTTACGTGACCAGATAAAAAAAAAGCGCGCGGAAACTAGTTCTTGCATTTGCTCACGTAAGCAGCGTACAACTATGGGCAAATGGTGGACACTCAAGAAGTTAGAGTCGCTCTCGGCTATCGCCTCGCGCGACCCTTGCGCTTCTTTCTTCTTTCAGCGACCTACCACATGCCTCCACAACTCAAGAGTGTACGCTGTGGTGTTTATCATTTGTTGATTGGTTTTTAGTTTTGAATCTGACTGTTTAATTGAGAGAGCGACACAGATATTTTGCACCAATCAAAGGGAAACATAAAGTAAATACAATGTCATCTCGGATTAAATGCGAGCGAGTATTCATTACAACTCAGTCTTAGAGTCATTTATATCTAATCATGACTTACTTGTTAATCAGAGACAAAATAATCTGAAGGACAAAACTGACATGACTCTCCATATCATTCAACAACACCCTTAAATCTCTTGTAAGCCATGGAATCAGTCGGTGGGTGCAAGCAGGATTAGCACGGAAAAATTCTGGCGCTACGAGAAAGATAAACAAGTTTTAAGAAATCTGACCCCCACTGAAGAAGATTACATTGAGTCTTGTAGACTTGTAGAATGAAGAAACCTAGATTATTGATCATCCTCCTGGGTGGAACTTTACCCCTTTGAATTCTCCCTCCCCTTCCCCTCCCTCTCCCCCAACAGAGGCTGTCGCTGATATTTCATAATTATTCACCGGGTGGAGCTGGATAGTTAAAAATTATTCCACGAGCGCGCGTTGGATATGAGATGATAGATAGCTACGCG